GGGGGGGGGGTGGTGTTCTGGGTGCACCTGGGGTGGCCCCTTCTGCCTGCATGAGGGCCTGGGGGTCTCCACCAGTGTTAGACAAGGGCTACAGTCTCCAGGGCCAGGGCCTGTCCCTCCTCTCTCTTGAACATGCTGGCAGCTCTCGGCTTAGGCCTTCTTCCGCCTCCCTTTGGGATCTGTGTCTTCCAGGTATCCGGTGCTTGGCTTAGAGGTACTTCTCTCTGGGGCTGAGCCCACCTCCCCATCCCAGTCACTCTGTGGAGGCAGCCGGTCTCCCAGACCTGGCTTAGAAATCTCCTCGTAGGCATGTGATGGGCTGCTTATGGTGTCCGCCCCCAACAGGCTAGTGCTGTCTCTGTGGGCCTTGGCCTCTCCTTGAGGTTGCTGGTTGGCTTCTCTGGGGGTCCTGAACCCCTGAAAAGCACAGAAGTGCAACAGTGCGGCCTGGCAGGGTTTCACCAGTGGGCAGCAGGATTTTCAGCCTGGAGTTTGACCCAGTGTTCCCTTGGGGTGGGAGCAGGGATGTGCTGTCAACTTCTGCCATCTTGATGGGCTTCTCTGGGCCCTAGATGCGCAGAAACATTCCTGGTTGTACTGGGGTCAGCCTGCAGTGGAGATTTTGACTGTTGGCTCCAGATCACTTAGTGGCCTCCTCACCTCCGGCCTGCCTCTGACTTGTAGGATCCAGACTACAGTTGCTGATGGTTGTAGCAGCAGTGCATTGATTTTCATCACAACAGTCCTTAAAGAGAGGTCCTGTCCTGTCCCGGAGGTGGGAGGGACAGCTGTCCGTGTCCATGCTGGGAGATGGTTATCCATCTCTGCCAGGCTGTGGACCTGGAGAGTGGAGGGAGGAGGTGGGCGAGGAAGGCGAGAGGAGGGGTTGAGAGCAGGTGTACTGAGCAGAAACTGCAGGTCATCGGTTTGGTTTATAGAAGAAACTTCTGTAGTTAGGCCGTGGTTCCTTTCAGGGGTTTTGGATTTGAAGCAGCTGCCCCTTGGGTCAGTTCTGGTCCGGCCAGCCCTGCGGTGTCACTTCCCCCTTTCCCCCTTCACCTTGGTGTCTTCCCAGTAGGTTCTGTGTCCACATGTGGCTGGTTGGTGTCTGATTGATTCTTGTTAGTTCCTTTCTCCTACTGTGAGGGTGTTGTGTTCCCTCTTCCTCTCAACTTTTCTGACACAGTGAATCGAGGGCTTTGGCCAAAGCCAAGTCTCCCAAACGTGCCCACTAAGTAAACCATGCTGTGCACCTCCCCGCCCACTCCCCTCGCCCGGCTCCTAGTGACCCTGACGTGGACTCAGATTTCAGAGGAGAACCTTGGGGGCAGGTCAGCTCCTCCCCACAGTGCGGCCCCAGGGAGGCCTCGGGGGCCCTGGCTGCTGCTCGGGGCTCACTGCCCTTTGTCCAGGTGAGAAGACCGGCTGCTCTGTGCAGGGGGCGGTGTGGTTTCCGAGGGGCTCTCCGGCCCTGAGCTCGCCCCGGCGGTCAGCAGCAGCCTCGGTGGCCGGTGCGCAGGCCCCAGCCGTCACCTGCTGCAGCCGGCCGGGTCGGGGGTCCAGCCCCTCTGCTCGCTGCTGCCCGGCTCCGGGTGGCCGTTGGCCGGAGCGCCCGTCCCAGCGGGGCCCCGCACCACAGCCTGCGGCGCCGGTTCCGCTCTGGGATCGGGCCAGTTACTTTTTTAGGCTGTGGTTTGGTGAAAGGAACCAACACATTAACGATTTTGTTCCCTCAGAAGCCACTGAACAATTCTTTTTGGCGCGTTTTTGCCTTCCTGTCGGCTGCCTGGTTTTGGAGCGGGGGAGATGGGTGTGCCCCGGGGACATGGCCCGTCTGCTCCTGGGCTGGGCCCCGGGACATGGCTGGGCCCCGGGATATGGCTGGGCCCCGGGCCTGGGCCCTGAGACGTGGCTGTGCCCCGGGGACATGGCCCGTCTGCTCCTGGGCTGGGCCCCGGGACATGGCTGGGCCCCGGGATATGGCTGGGCCCCGGGCCTGGGCCCTGAGACGTGGCTGTGCCCCGGGGACATGGCCCGTCTGCTCCTGGGCTGGGCCCCGGGACATGGCTGGGCCCCGGGATATGGCTGGGCCCCGGGCCTGGGCCCTGAGACGTGGCTGTGCCCCGGGGACATGGCCCGTCTGCTCCTGGGCTGGGCCCCGGGACATGGC